CAGGGAGGGGAGCGGAAGATAGGATTCGGGAAAAGCCAGAAGGGGAGAAGGGGAAACTATTGTTAGTCCTTGTGCGGCAACGACGACTGTCTGGGCTGTTTGTGTGGACTCTGCGTATAGTCGTGTCCGCCCGCGGTAGCTCACGAGGGGGCAACGAGTGTGGATAACGCATCCGATGCTTCCCTTCGAATTCTTCCTTGTTCTGAGTTCATACACGATGAACGGGTCACGATGAATGGGTGATTTAGCATGCAACGACTATCGTTTCCGCTCATACCCACACAATCGTATCCTGCCCTCCGCGGACGATCCTAGACAGCATCGCCTTCTGTGGCAGTGATAGGGAGAGAGGTTCTTATCGTTTGGGAGTGATCTTTTCCTCCCAGAAACACGCACCATCAATGGTGGCGCGAACCGGGCCTACGTCGACTGAACCTCGGTGTTTTCCTGATCTTTCTCTCCGCAATCACCAATGGATTCGACGTCTCTCTCTCTCATCAATAGCTTTCTCGCGATCCTGTCCTTCAACTCGAGCATAGTAAACCGCGACTCTTTTTGAGGACAATGTTGCCGATACACAGGCACAGCGGACTGCAAGTTTCGTTGCAGCGAACATCAAATATAGTCCAAAAGGGAATATAGCGAGGCCAGCTGTCGTGATTCCAGATAATCACCTGAGCCCTGTCTGCAAAGCGACAAGTCCGACTACCGCAACCAAAACAAGTGACAGCGAACAGGGTGTCGCTTTGTGCCCTCGCTAGCTCTCCCAATCCCTCTTCAGCGCCGCCACAGCATCGTCCGTGTGCAGCACATCACCAAACGCGAACCCGAACCCCTTCAATCCAGCCTTGTGCTGGGCAGCATTGGCGCTCCCGCACGCATCCGCAACCAACCAGGTCTCGAAGCCGCGGTTGAACGCACTCCTGGCCGTCGTGTCGCAGCAACAGTCAGTCATCACGCCACACACCACGACTCTCCCCACGCCCTTTTCGCGCAACATGGCCTCCAGTGGCGTGTTGATGAAGGCATCGTATGTGTTCTTGTCCACCCGCGAGCAGTCCTCGAACCCCCGCGCCAACTTCTCAACGGCGGGGATCAGCTTCCAGTCGGCACTGCCGCGGTGGATGGACCCGTCCGGGCCCCATCTATCGACGACGATCAATGGCTGTTTGCGAAGAGCGGGAGGGGAGGCAGAGGCTGTACTTGCGGACGAGCTGGTTCTTGTACGGAGGTGTGAGCTCCTCCTTGGGGTGGCCGTGTTGCGTGAAAACGATTGGTTGGGAAGACGAACGAAAGAGGTTGCAGAGAGTTTGGACATGTGGGATTGCAGATGTCACCATGGGGTGGAAGAAGTTTTGCATGTCGATAACTAGCAGAGCCGTCTTCATGGTTGCCGCCGTTGGTTGTGGGCTATGACCAGTAGGCTGCGTGAAAGGGGAACGCACGGCAAAGGTAGGGTAGTGTACAGATGACAGGCTAAAAATGTGTGTTCAGTAGCGACAAGACGGAACCTACGCGGTAAAGGACAGAGCAGTTGCGTATGTGTGTTGCAATAATGCAAAGTGTGTTTGACGACTTCACGTGCTTCCTGTATATATATGTGTAGTGCCCTATATACGTCACCGCGCAGGAGCTTGGCCATGATCGCATCTCTCATATCTCCATACCTCGACCTTACTGCAACCGCCTGCTTCCTCTCTGTAAAGCATCACGTCCGGACAATTGCATCCTCCTAGTTAACTGAACTCCTCTGGCTCAACGTCCTGTTCAACTACGCCGAGAACCAGTACATCAAGAGCAAGTCAACGCCCGGTCCAGCGGAGCTACCGTTGAGCCCCCACCCCCGAAACTAACCACCCACCAGGGCAACCCCAAAGCCCACACCTCCCACAAAAAAACCCCCGTCAAGCAATGCAATCCCTCGTCCGCAGCACCCGCGCTCTGGGCGCCACTCCCCAAACCCTGCGGTGCGTCACCCGCCGCAGCACCCGCACCACGCCCACCGCCCGGCCCTTCTCCGCCCTCGCGCGCCTCGCCATCAAAGAAGACGCGGACCGCAGCGCCGAAGAGGTCGAGGCGCACAAGCAGGAGCACCTGCGCAAGCAAGAGCGGGGCGAGGGCCACTGGGACCGCAACCTGGCCAGCAGAGGCGAGGAGAGCATTGCCGCCGACCGCCAGGCCGACAACGTCGAGGACCACGGCGCGCATATGGAGGATTTGCAGAAGCAGACGGCGGGGCAGAGCGAGCGGGAACATCCGGAGGGGAAGGCTGAGTAATGGTACGGATCCTGCCGGGAGCGACTGTTGGGACGATGGGGGGTGTGTGAGGGGCTTGGGAAGAGAGGGGGAAGGGGAGAGGGGCGGCGAGAAGAGGATGAAGAGGAGGTGAAGGTGTGTGGAAGGAGATACGTTGATTGATGACCGTGTTGTATATACGTTATGGATACCCCTGCTTGGGAAATCTGTACAGTCGTGATGTTTCCATCGCCCAGAGTGAAGAAGAACACGTCGTCAGTTCGTGGGTTGGTGGGTGAAATTGGCTAGGGAACAAAGAAACATCGCGCTCGCCATGAGCCTTAGAGGTGTTTTGGGGGGGCGGGGTTCTATCGCGGAAGTTACACGATTTTGTTGGAGATAAAATACATCTGCGGTTTCACAGTGACATGCGTGGACATGCATGATACGGTTACGCACTACGTAGCAGATATACAAGGACTGTTTACGAGTGACCCATACATCACCGATGCCGCACCTTCCTCAGTCCATACCTCATCGGCGGCAACGATTTGATACTCAAGCCCACTCTGTACCTGTCCTTCAGCGGATTGCAAACCAGATACGGATTCCTTGACTTCTTCAATAGCCTGCCTGTGGGCGTATCCATGCCCCTCGCTCTCCGCCCCTATGTAACGCGAAATCGATGAGCAGGTCTTGTGCCGTGGGCCGATATGCAGGATTGTACCTCAAGCAGTCGCGGATCTGGTTCTTGAGCTCTTGGGTATAGCGGTTGTCGGGATCAATATCGTAAACCCTCCTGTTATCTAGGACGTTACCCCACGTGCGCGAAGGGTGGATCAGGGGCTGGACCGGACTCCGCAAAGTGAGGCTTGCGTACATGATCATGCCTACAAGGAGTTAATGAGGGTTGTTGTTGTGCGGAGAGAGATGGTGCGGCGAAAGGGGGCCTTACCAATCTGGAAAATGTTCACCGGACCGAGTTTTGAGTGCACCGGTCTAAGAGAGGGGGAACAGGTTGGAGCAGGTTCCATGGCACGTCGGTACGGAAAGGAGGGGAGTTCCATACCAGGGAGGGAGCCATTGCTCTGTTGAGATGTAACCGTCGGTCATCGCATCACCCCAGAAGGCTCCAGGATTCCCCGGATCTGCGGCATTCGTAATGCGAGAACCATCAAAATCGGCCATCTTTATAGTGGGATACAACCTCCAGCTGTTTGGGTCAGGGTCGCTGAGAAACACATTCTCGGGTTTTAGGTCACCGTGGACCACAACATCTCCAGGAACTGCCGTCTCGAGGTCGCGGGCGGCCTGCACGAGAGATTCGAACAGGAACCTGCCGAAGTGTTAACGAGTGACAAAGCCGAGAATTCCAACAGGGAGGACTACCAGAGAAAGGGTTCCGGAAGATGGCCCACGACATCGCGATCTCTACCTGCTGCTCTCAAGCCAACCGCCAAACTGTTTTCCACTTGTCAGCACCTGGCTGTCTCTCTCGGTGCGACTTCCAGCCAACTCACCGATTCCGGCCCTTTCCATACTGGTCGACCATCAGATCCATAAGATCTCCGTGAGGACAGAACTCCAAATAGAGACGATATCTTGGATTAGCAGGATCCCGCAAATCCGGCGCATGGGAAATCAGCTCCACCAGATGTCTCGACTGCTGCAGACTCTGGGGGCTACGTAATCGTGTGTGGACTGCAACCTCACGCGGTACTGTCGCCGGGGCACAATCGACTTCCTTGATCACCATCCTCTCCTGCACAGATCCAGTGGCGCCCGCGACCCGGACCCATACCCCGGTTCTCGCGTGAGCCCCGGTCCCCAGTTGCCATCCGCCAACCCAGTCAGCGTTGGCATTGGGCCGCAGAGTTTCAGCGCGGAGGAACGCTCTCCATGCGGCGTCCTCGCTTGCGTTAGCGATTACAACAGCTCTCTGAGCTAGTTGGATAGGCTGGTGGATGATCCTCCTGTTTTGTGCGTCGGTGTCAGGATAAAAGCGCTGGAGGTCGTCTTTCAAGCGCGCGAGTTCCCGGTCGTATTTATTTGGCGCTGGCGGGATCTGTGCCATATCGACAGATGGAGTGGAATGGAGCTGTCAAGCTGAGGCGTAGTATCTGAGATATTGATTAAGTCGGACGTGTCGTTTGTGATGCAAGTGGTCTTTGTTTTTTTTTTCGGATGGGTGAAGTCGCCGCTTCTGGACGTGCATGTTTTCTTTATCCACTAAAAGCGTGCTTTTGGTACCGCGGCCGCCGTCACAAAGGGAAGCCTCAGGGAACATCGCAAAGACGTTCCCTGGCGCTTCGTCGCCAGTCTTTGTTCCCGGTGAAGGCATCCTGGCGTTGTCGTATCAGGGTGTCCGGATAGCAGAAAGGCCTCGCCTTCCAAGCTCTACCCGTCGCAGGCCAGGCTTCGCGTCCGTACACAGTTATTCCATGCTTCCAAGCTACACAAACAAACGCAGCAAGAGATCGTGTGTAGATATAAACGGATTGCTTTGGTGATATCTCGAATGACATAGATGAGTGAATTATGGAAGAATCGCACTTAACTTGAGAACAACAACCCCACAGTGCAACTCCAGGACACCTGGCGACGTATGTGGAGATGTGAACAATTTTGGCAGCACTTGATTCAGTGTTCACTGGTTGATTGAGTGCCAAGCTGGTTTTTGAGGGTTCTCGACTCGACCAGGTTAGCGCGCGATGCCATAGCGTGCAGAAGATGTATCTTGGTCAAAAGGGTGCCGGCTAAACATCGGTTCGGTGGTGTAGTTGGTTATCACGTTCGTTCCTCCATTCCTCTTCTCCAAATCCATCTACTAACATCCAATCAGACCAGTCTAACATGTCTCATGGTCCACTGGTGGTCCCCGGTTCGAGCCCGGGCCGAATCATTTGGCGCTCCAACTGGTCCGGGTGTGTGTGTGTGTGCATGCCTCTGTTTCACGTAGTTCAGCTGGGTTTCGGTGAGCTTTTTTATGCCATACCTGGCAAGAGTTGCAACACTTTTACAGTCCTTGGCGTGGGTGATACGATTAGAATGCATCAGTTCTTGTGATGCCATGCGCGCGCGAGGGCGGACCCTCAAAAGCCGTGACCCATAGAGGGCCGCTCCGGTGGAAAGATATCTGTTCGATGCTCGAGACGACTGTTCAAGACCAGCATGTCGGCAAGACCTCAATGTATACCGCCGACGGCCTTGGAAAAACACCGGCTTCTAAGTGTACTTTGCCAAGCATCCATCTAGTTTTTCGAGTAGAAGGATATTCCCATTCATCGTGCGTTACACTGTGCTTCCACTCGGGACGGAGCCGGCGGCTGTACAGCATATATCTTCATGACACGACGCAATTGCTGCCCAATCCACTGCCGCTGCCCATCTCTTAGTGGCAATTTCAATGCAAGGAGCTCCCCAAGTCGCGTAGCGAAACCAACCCCCATGGCAGCGGCTCCTATGTAGTGCTCATCGGGAACCGGTGACCCTGCAATGTGCGGATACTGTACCGTCTTGTCGTCAATACGTCCAATGATCGTCCGATCTCCGAGGTGGAACGGTACACTGGCACACATTTCATCCACCAGGTCTTGAATCACCTCATGTGCGGCTAATGAACCGTCGATGCAGCCGATACTGTTTCCCAGCTGCGACAGGCAGGTGAGTATTGCTAGCTGGAGCTTGATGCGCGAACTCCGATAGCAGTTGAATGCGTAGGCAATGTGGATGTTCTCGTAGACATGACAACAGTCCTGGTAGATCCCGGCTTCCTTCACACTGGGGGAATGCACTCTGGACCAGACACTGAAACAGGCACGGTGGAGATTTTGCGTGCCCATGCCACGTATTGTTGATCGGTTTCGTAGGCTATCTTCAATACCTCCCAAGCCGAAACATGCTGGCCTTCAGCAGCGGACGTGTCGAGTTGCGAGGTCAGGCCTTGGATGTTCGCTAGCTGGATGTCGAGTTCGTCAAGCTGAAATGCGGTCGTGTTGGGGACGTCTGGTGCCGAACTGGCCCAGGCGAAAACGTTCGATGGAAGAGGATGGACGTTGTTCATAGCCCTCCCGACGACTTGATTTCGGGCTCCGAGTATTAGTCTTTGAGACAATGGTGACTTTGAAACGACGGGAGACCGTCGTCGGTGTTCGACCATTGCGATGATGCCGCTTGTGTGAGTGCTACTGACGGGCCTCGACCACAGGAATCCCCTGAGGTTTTCGTACATATCTAGTAGAAGAGCTGCCAGGAGGACGTCGTCGCCATCGCCATCGGTGTTCTGCAGGCTTTTCCTCAAAGCCGCAACGGCTTCAAGGTTTTGCATCCGGGAGAACGCTAAGGGTGCATCGGGTATCAACAGTGACCATGCCTCGAGAAGGCATGAAGCTACCGCAGCAAGAGCCGGCCTCAAAGGCGACGTTGGCTTGGTCTCTAACCATATTGGGTAGATGCATCTCCAAAAACCTCGACTCACGACTGGGCTTGGATATGGTATCAGTACGTACGATGTGAGAAAGAAGTCGATTGCATAGCTCGCAAAGTCCTGTGACACAGCGTTGAGGTTCGGCGCCATGACTTTCGTCAACTGCCGGCGCGCTTCGTGATCTCGGTCTGCCTTGTCAACGGCGTTCGTTCGCCGTCTTACATTATTCTCCGCTACTTGGTTCTGGTCCCTCCAAGCAACATCAAACTGAGACTTGTAACCCGGGCAGACGATTTTCTTCTTCAGACACTGCGAGCAGCTTGGTTTAGCTTCATCGCACTAACGATGTGTCAGAGCCTTTCCTTCGAATCAAGTCGATGCAGCGTACTTTGATGCGACGCTTTCGGCAGACTTGACACCCTCTGCTTGGCCTGCCTGTATGAACCATTACACACGAATAATTACGAGTTGCTCAGGTAATCGGAGAGAGACGTCCGGTGTTCTTTGCACGAGAGGCACCCTCTAAGCAGGTGGGCAGGTGGGCAGGTGGGCAGGAGGAACGTTTGGGTACAGAAGGATGAAGGTCTGATCACATCGCCAGCCAAGATCTGGAGAACTCAGACACAGCCTCAATCTCGCGGCCGTAGCGTTAATTCGACCACAAAATCTGATGGATCATCTGCTGTGCTGTAACGCTGGTAAAAAATCAATCATTTGCGGGGCTGGCATGTTGATGCTTGGGATCGAGTTGCTCCTCCGGCCGAGAGATCAAAGGATCGCCAAAGTGCAGCTTGACTCGAAGAGGATTAGCGGCGCAGCATCGACCCGAACAGGATTAGCGGAGTGGCACCGACATTACGGCCGTCTTGAACACAGCCCCCGCTTCTATACCATGCCGCAATGGCAACAACTCGATCATGCGCAACGTGCGTTAACGAGTCATACGACGAGCCGCTCGCGAGTTGTTCCTGACCGATGGACCGGTCCCCCGCGCAAACAAGACCCGATGCGGAAGACGACCAATCTTCATGTCTGTCCCGGACGTACAGCATCTCGTATAGACTGAGTTCTTGTCACGGACGTAAGTATTCGAAAGTGATGCTATACCAGGGCCGACATGTCGAGGCCTTCCCAGGGATCGAATGCTCTACTTGGTATATAAGAATGCTCCTCCTCGCCCAGAATGTGGTCCGTCAGCTCCAACCACACTGTTACCTACCCATAACGCGACTGCTCAATTCATCCGAGTACTAGTCTGTGGACTTCCACAATGCATCCAGACTCAACCATCGCGGCTGGGCTCACCGAGACTCCAGCATCTCAATCCGAGAGCAGCCTTACCAGACCAGTATCTCTCTGGCAGAAAATATACCGTTCGCTTGGCTTCCAAAAAGGCTACAACTTCCCGCTATGTATGTACAGAAGATGATACACTTTACGTCTTGCTGATCTTGTCAGGGATCATCTTCGCAGGCGCTATGCTTGGTTTCAGCTTAGCACGCCTCTCCTATCTGAACATTGGTGGATCAGCAACAAGCAGCTTCGCCAGCAGTGCCTCACCGGGAGAGTGGTACTGGTACCGCAGCGGCCACTATCGAGTCGGTATCACGCTCCACCTCGGTGCCATACTTCCAGCCGGCTTGCTCATGGTCTGGCAATTCGTTCCCGCCATCCGCCACAAATTCCTGATCGTGCACCGAATCAACGGGTACATCATCATCCTGCTGGTCCTAATCGCCAACGTCGGGGCTCTCATGATATGTCGCCGGTCTTTCGGAGGAACACTCGAAACCCAAGCCGGTGTGGGCGTGCTGGTCATTATCACGACCATCAGCATCGCCATGGCGTACTACAACATCAAACGCCTCCAGATCGACCAGCACCGTGCTTGGATGCTGCGAGCGATGTTTTACTTAGGCACTATCATTACGATGCGCCTTATCATGATCATCTGTGCAAGCATCATCTCAGCCGTGGACAGATATTACACCGTCCGATCTTGCGACGAGATCACTTTTATATACGGTTCCAGCGATCCAGTACGGAAGTACTACCCTCAGTGCAGCATTCCTAACGCTACAGTCAACGGTCTTGTCGTTGTACAAGCGGATCTCAGCTTCAGTTCAGGCCGTCCTGAGCAGATTGCTGCGAGTTTCGGCGTCAGCTTTGGCATGGCGTTGTGGTTGGCGTTATTCTTGCATCTCGTTGGTGTGGAGATTTACCTTTCTTTGACACCAAAGGAGAGCAACAGGCTGAGACAAGTGAGCTTTGAAAGACAACTGGAGAAAGGTTACAAGCATCCTGGAAGCGCGGGCTTGACGGCTGATCGGTGGGGAGATGCGGATGAATGGCAGCCGACAACAATAGTTAAAACTGTCGAAGCGGATGAGTGAGCGCACTATGGAGGCTAGTTGGAAGATCGGGGTGCATCGATGCTGCTTCCGAGCGGGTGCGGCTAGTCTCTCAGCTTTCCCGTTATGTTCGTGTAGAATTGGCAGTCTGAAAAATCTATGTGTATGGTAGCCTCAAGTGAGCGACTGATAGGATGAAGCAAGTGGAGAGCAGAAGGATTGGTGAACCAGGGGGAAGGCGCCCGGTCGAATCTGGGGGCCCGTTTAAAATGATGGTCACTTCCAACAGACAGATCCCGTAGCCGAATGATTGTCTCTCGTAAGATGATGAGGATGCTATAAAGCAACTAGAGCGAATCATCGATTTCGAAATCGTGATTGTTCCGTTGACCTTCATGTTCGAAGTGCCTTCAATGTCGCAAAGGAATCAACGATAGAGAAGCCAGAGGCCCTGCGACCCTAGTAACTCACCATCATTACGAAGGTTTCCGCATCTGGGGCGCCCGATACGGCAAGTGCCGAAGAGACCCTTGGTACGGCAGGAACCCCTTTCAACCCTGGAACTTCTCCATACCGTTCCTGCGTGCATGTTTCTATGCTCTACACTTCTTGCACCGACCTCATACAATACACTCGTTCCAGCCAATTACTTCTCCTCGAGCCACTACTGACACACACCTCAACCTTGATCTCACTCCCGCCGCCAACATGTCTTCCATGTCGAGCAACGCGGTATGCGACCCCCGTTCCGTTTCCCTTGTTCGTAAAGGAAAACACCCGACCCGACCCACGTTTCCTCCACGCTCCATGTCAACGATATCCATACACGGTCAGAAACAACACGACAGCAATTGCTGATGGCTGATTCGTAGATCAAGATACGGCGCAAGAAGAATGTCAAGAAGGGTATCCAGTTCTGTCTGATGGTCTGCGGTGCATCCGGCACTGGTGAGCAACACACGCGAATGCAGGTCGAAGAGAGACAACACTGACCGATCAGGTCGCACAACATTCGTCAACACTCTCTGTGGTCAGAAGGTTTTGGCAGGCAAGGATGCTGACGATGCGTCCATGGCACACATTGAAGAGGGCGTTAAGATCAAGCCGGTCACAGTCGGTATGCAT